TGACTCGCCGCCCGTTATGAAACGCTATCAAACGCCATGGAACGCGGTGACGTCCGCGCATCCGAGCCGTGAAAATCTGACGGAACGCGCGGTGTACCTGGCGAGCGCCTTTTCGTGGCCAAAGTGAAAAACGAGTATTACGGTAGCTCATTAAAGAATTCGAACACGTTTTAAAATGCGATAACTTTTTTCAAACTGTACGAAATGAATTGCATTTTCTTTTTCAGGTGATAGTGGGACTAATCCGCGAGACAATAATTGAAATGCATTTTCTTCATTTTGCTCTTACTTGGAATGACAAAAAAGGAAAGAAATTCTCGTTCTTTAAATTTTTTATCCGAACCTGTAACAAAAATTTGAAAAAATTCCTTCTGTGTATCTCGGTAACTTATTATGCATGCTGAAAATTTTATCGAAATTGGTTGACGTTGTTATGGAGTTGCAAATAATTAAAGATCGCTAAAATCGCAATTTTGTCCCGATTTTTAACACTGTCGACCAAAAGCTATAGGAAAGCAGTTTTTGAAATTCAACGCCTTGTCAAGGTTGAATTGAAAACACGTGCTACAGTGAAGCATGAAACACATTGTTTATATTGAAATACTATTTCATGTAGTGCATACGACAAATAATGATAATAAAAAAATATTGACCAAAAACAAGAGAAAAAAGTGAAAATTAAAAATTCAAGAATTACAGAAAAATAATTGCATCCTTCCACATTGTAAAATCGCTGTTTCTCCCAGCGACTAAATGGCACCTTTGTTACGATTAAAATTATTAAGAACGGATAAAAAATGGAACATTAAAAATGACATTTTATCGATTCACCATTCTTTCTTTTTAACACTAAACCTACAGCGGTCAAAGTGACCGCTTTCTTATTTTGCAATTCTGCAAAGTTCCGAGACTCTTTCGTGGAAAACGCTTGAATAAGTTATATTATCGGAGCAAGTTTGATAATAAAAACTTCACAAATTCTAAATAAATTCGGTCTCCTCACCTTTGTGAAGCACTACACGCCAGTTAGTATTACTGCATGGTAGGTTTAGTGTTAAACAAACCCGTTATTGTGTAACTGTTGTTCAAGCCATACGCGTGTAACAATATTATATAATAATATCGACACTGTTAATGCAAATAGCTCCTTTGTTCATTTTGGAAACTGGCGTAGTCAGTTATTGTTACCGAAGTGTAATATTCGTGTAAACACGGCTTTCCTTAATTTTTGCTTTTATCCGAATGGGATCAGTACGCGCTTCGGAGATCTATCGCTGACATCGAGACAACGCGATCCTGATATGTATTTGGTGGAAACAAAACAGCAGCCTGCAATGGCACCGTTCAAATTTAGCGTATCCGTTCGTCGAACACATTAGCTCGAATTAGTTTTATCGCGAATAGTTAAACGGGATACAAAGCAGACAATACTCTATAAAGTACGGGGAACAATGTTGCAGTAATGGGGCGAGGAACATAAATGTTGCAGCACTTAAAATCGTTTACGGAATTTCAGCTCGTGCCCGGGCAAAACTGCGCGATAGGAATCCAGCATAATGAAACGGATGCAACAAAATTTCGACGCAAGTCCGTAGAAACAATTAACGATTACGCCCATAAAAATATATATGTACATATATATAAAATGGTACCGAATGTACGCGAAAAATTTTAGCGAAAATCGACGTGAAAATAAATTCCTGTGATCGCGATGCTCTTTTAGATAGAACAATTATTAATTTGTAGTAACAATGTCCATCATTAGAACACATACAAAATGAATATTTAAAAATAATTTTAGCAGAAATACTTCCCTAAAGTCCATGCGAGATTTTAAAATGGAAAGAATCGACCTAAAAATAAATTCCTACAATCACGATGCTCTTTTGAAACAACGAAATCGGTTATTGGTTTATAGTAACAATGTCCATCATTAGAGATATAACAAATGCACCGAATATTCAAGAAGAATTTTAGCAAAATCTCCTCACGATGCTTATCGTCCCACCAAAATTCATGCCCTTTAAAAATCGATTTTCGTAATGCAACGGAAAATAATTCCTGCAAGCACGACAACGTTTTAAATTAATGAGTAGATAGCTGCATAAACGTTCCTTCCTTTCTTTAATTAGTTTATCTTGTCGGAAATAATGCAGTATAATAGTATATTTAAATTTAAAAAAACAATTTTTACTTTTTAAGTAAATTTTAATTTTAACTAAATTTTACTGTTTCGTATTTGATCTATTCATTTTTATCATAAATGCATAAAGTCCGCAGATATATTAATGAACTTGAAACATTTATTATCTTATAGAAAGAACTGCCACTAAAATATAACTTGTATAAAATATAATTAATAACGTGAACAAACTTAAGTGAGATCGTTTCTTCATAAAAAATCGTTGTCTTCCAGAAATCGAAAATCGAGAACACAGTTTTCTTTTACAAATTTTAGAAAATTCGAACAAAAATGACGAATATAAGCTCAATGCTCCGCTACGAATTGTTATATTCCGTTTCAAAATAATTTTTACATTACACTTAAAATTTTTATCATTATATTTATATTTAGAAAACTGTTAAAAGTGTAATCGTTCTGTGACACACAAGGCTAATCTGCACAAAACGCACTAATGTTAGTCGTACGAAATGAAAATCTTGTAGGTCGGGAAAACTATTTTGGATTTATATTTATTTTATTTTTGCTTCGGCGTGCGAGGCAAAAATAATGAATAAGTAAAAACGTTCGCAACAGTAAAATGAATTACAAGCTGGTTCCAAACTCGTATTACCGCCCCTGATATAATGAACGGTGAGCACGACACTATCTCGAGTTAATTAAAATGCAACGAAAAAGATGGTTAACAATTCAGGAACGCTATCGTCAACATTATGTTTCCCGGCCGGCCGCTGTGTACTTCGAAGTTTCGATCTATCCTCCCCGATCGAATTCCACCTCGATATTAATTCCGTCCGCGTTTCGGATTATTTTCGCCGGGCATCGGCGCGAGGCGACGCGTCCGCGGCGTTCTAATTGGAGTTTCCGCGTATAATTGAGATACAGCTCCCGATAAAGCTTATCTAGGTATAATTCGCTCGGCACCGCGCGCAATTAACGCCGATCTAGTCGGCCGCGGAGCTATAATTTACGAGGAAAGACCTGCTCGGAACGAGTCGGGCCCTCGCCCGGGTGAAAGCTGGAAGGTGCGAACCACGCAACACCTTTCTCTCATCTAACAAAAAATCCCTGGAGCGTTATAATTTCCAGAATCCGGTCGTCCTATCGGATCGATGCAAACAGTGTTCCCAAACGACGCAACAGCGATCACTAAAATGAACTTTTCCGCTGTGAAGAGGGCAGTGAAGCCGATCACTTTCATGTACAGCGGCCCACAAAAGTGTTCGTACACCTTTTAAAATGCAATGACTTTTTCAAAACTGAACTAATTGACTTGAACTTTTTTTTAGATGATAGAGAGACTAGTCTCTTAGACGATGGCTAAAAAGCTTTTCTTTAATTTTGCTATTACTTGGAACGAAATGAAAAAATTTCGAACCCTCGTTTCTTAACTTTTTTATCTGGACCTATAACGAAAATTTAAAAAATGCCTTTTGTAGATCTCGGTAACTTATGTGCGTGTCGAAAATTTGATCGAAATCGGCCAACCCAGAGTCGAGCTACAAGCGTTGAAGGATTGAAAAAACTGCATTTCTTACTATTTCTTACGGTTTTTAGTCAAAATCGTGATAAAACTGTGATTTTTGCGATCTTTGATTTGTTGTAACTCGTAACAACGTGAACCGATTCCGATAAAATTTTCAACGTGCATGTAAGTTACCGAGATCTACGATACAGATTTTGTAAATTTTCGTTATAGGCTCAGATAAAAAAGTTAAAAGACAAGAGAGTTTTATTTTTTTGCAATTTCAAGTAATAGCAAAATTTAAAAAAAAAAAGGATTTCAGTTATTGTCTCGTGGATTAGTCCCACTATCATCTAAAAAAAATTCAAGTCATTTAGTTTAATTTTAAAATAATTATTACATTTTAAAAGGTGTACAAACACTTTTGTGGGTTGCTGTATATAATTTGTCGAAATAATTTCTAATAAAAACTGACTAATCTGTAAAACTAATGAATTCTATTAAATTTTAGATCGATCTATACAATTTTATAAAAACCTCATAATTACTACAATAAATTCATACTGTTGTATTGATACTATGGGTTATTACTCGATTGGTATTACTCTTAATTTTAGAATTATAAAATCATAAAATTTGTGCTGGTTAAATTAGAGATTTACCTACAAAACTAACGTCAATTTAAAATGAAAATTCATTTTGTCATCTACCTCTCTCATATAATTCGTCGAAATAATTTCTAATAAAAACTAACTAATCTTGTAGAATTAACTTTTTGTTGCGAATAGGATAGTGGAACCGGTTACTGTGGGCTGACCAATTGCTGCGTTTCTGATTCGTTTTCCGGCATAATTAACTTACAATAAAACATGTTAAACTTTTTTATTAACACATTATATGCTGGAGAGGTATCAATACCTTCATAAAAAATGTAATCATTTTTAATTTAGTTACATATTTGAAAGAATCCCTCTGTGTAATCCTAAAAATCCTCGTTACATACTTGTTATAAAAATCTTACTATCAATTGAAATATCGGAAAATATTAAATGTTCTTTAAAATATTAAATGTCCAAAATTTACGAAATAAAAGAATAGAAATGTTTACGATGTCTCATTCGGTAAATATGATGATAGTTACGCCCGTAAACAAACCAAAGGCACAGCAATTGGTCACCGCACAGTAACCAAAACTCCAGCACCCCACCGATTCCTAATTGAATTAAAGGAGATATTTTAAGACGTGAACCACACAATTTCACCGATCGGAACCATTGCGCGACGCGATCGCTGATCCCGCTTAATCATTGTCGCGTAATAAACGAGTATAGAAAAGGTTCGGTAATCACTCACCGCTTTCACGGACTCGAAGTCGCCCTTCCTGAGCAGATCCATCAGCCTCTGCCGCTCCATTTCCTCCTTTGTCACGTACACCTTGTTCTCCTTGAGCCTGGCATCGCGGGCGATCTCGTAATTGTCGCACAACACGTTATGAAACCCGGGGGCCGGCTTCTGCTGGCCGGCATGATGCTCGACGGCCCGCGGGCAGCCGTCGTTCTCCGGCGAGCCCTTCGCGGGCAGGTCCTGCTTGAACTGCAGGTTCTTCAGCAGGACCTCGTTCACCACCTCGGCCCTGTCGCCGAGCTCCTTGGCCCGCTCTTCGTCGACTCTCTCGGCGGCCTCGTTCTTCACCTTATCCGCGTTCTTGGTCTCGGCGTTGAACCGGGCCTCGTGATCGGCGCTTAGGCGAGCGCAGGCCTCCTCGGCCTTGAACTTAGCCGCCTGCCTTTCACTCTCCAGCTCGTCCAGCGGGATGGTCGCGGTCGACAGATTGCTGTTCTCCCTGGTGTGACAGGACTGCTGGCTCCTGTCGAGCGTCTCGGACTCGTACGGGACCTCGGCGTCCTCGAGGACCATAATCGGCTCCGCGGCGTCTCGCGGTTCCTCCCGATCGTTGCCCGCCGAGCAACCAGTCTCCTGCTGCTGTTGGCTCTGCTTCCCGGACTGGAACGTGACGAACGTCCTCACGGGGTCCGATTGATCCCTCCTCGGGCTCATCGAGTCCCTCCTCTTCGCGAGCTTCGATCTCCCATTAGCCAGCCCCTGGATCTTCAAGCACTGGCTCAACCCTACCTCCGGGTACCTGCAGGCCGACGCCTCGCTCTTCTGATCGTCCTCCTCGATAGTCTCCAGCTGCTCGTACCTCAGCTCGCCGATCCTCTCGTACATGTCCTCCTCCTTCTCATCTCGCGGCTCTTTGCCAGGCAGCTTCGCCTCCGCGTCTCCTTGCTCGCCGTACGCGGAGACCTGCAGAGACGGTCTCAGCAACGACTCCAGGTCGTCCGCGTGGATCACCTGCGGCTGCAGGCTGCGCTCGTAGATCTTCTCCACGTGATTCGGCGAGGTGTAGTGGGACTTCGCGGCGGACTTCGCGGCGTTCTGCTCGTTTAACTGTTGCAAAGCGTTGTAGACGGTGTTGTTCGGCTTGAAGGTGGACTGCGGGGATCCCAACGGCGAAGTCCTGCGCTCGTTCTTGCTATCCTGCGCGGTGGAGGAGTCTCTTCTCGGAAGAACCGGCGGTTTTCTAGCTTCGGGCGGCAGCGGGGCTTGGAGATTTCTCGAGCGCGCGACTCGCGGCTCCTGTTGACCTTGCAGGGTCCTCAGGCGAGCTCCAACGGTCCCGTACGCGGCCTCCTGCCTCTGCTCCGGTTTGCCCTCTCTCCTCTCGCGGCTCGGATCGCAGAGGATCCTCGCGGCCCGATCGCTCCTCGAGGCTTCCATCGATTTACAGGCCGCGAGGCCGACCGTGGAATCGGCTGGTTTATCACCGGGACCCGGCCGCCTACTTTCTCCGTCCTTATTTGGCGAGATCGGCTCGCCTTGGTCACCAAGGTTGCCCGGGCCCTTCGGAGCCCCTCCCACCGCTGCTCCTCCGGCTCCGACTGCTACGACTACTCGGGGCCTCGGGCCTGTCTCTTCCTTAACGAGCGGCCTGCCCGCGCCGCTGCTTTGATCGTGGCTCGGGGAACGCTTGAACGACGCGCGTCTGCAGGGGATCACCGATGGAGACGACGCTGCTGCTGCTGCTGCTGATGTTGCTGAACCGCCCGCAGCCGCTCCACATATTCTGCCATAATCGGACTCGTTCCTGCTCTTCGACGGGCCCGATGCCACCACTCGGACCCGACAGCTACGCTCCTGGAACAGACCCGGTTTGTAACGGCGTTCTCCGGGATTGATTGTCTTTGGCGCTGCATTCGCGGCCGAGCGATTCAGTCGGATCGTTGCGCTTTTGGGGATATTTGTTTTCAGAATTTTCGGCAGTCATTTTAATCCCACAGCCGGGGGACGAGGGTATTCGTGCACCTTTCAACGGTCATATGGCGAGGCTCGGGTCCATTTGAAATCAGAATATATGTACAGCAATTTCTCTCGAATTATTCCTCAGCTTGGAACGAAAATGGACAACTTGGTAAGTGGAGATACGGTTTTATATTTGTTGGTAATCGGCAATTATAAAAAGCAACAGCAAAGCTTGAATAATCGTGCCGCATCTTCTATTTTCGTTCCCAAGCTGAAGGAAAATGTGATAGAGATTACTGAATTGTTCTTTCACTGTCTAGTTTGTGACAGTTAATTAATATTGTCAGGAGAGTCGTTAAGCTTCATATACACAGTGCGACAAATAAGAATCCGATTGTCATCGCCGGAGATCTATGGGACATTTTCGACAGCATACACATTGAACTTTGAACGGGTTTCTCTGTTTCTTCGTTATCTCCGATCCTATTTGGTTCCTTGCATTTTACAGTATGTTCCACGTATATTAAAAAAAATATCTTGGTTCAGTGAGCAAAGTGCAATCAATGGGCAAACTAATTGTACACGTGGCAATCACTTATAACTTAATCTGTACTTTGAGCAATACACAATTGCGACAAATAAGTTTCGAGACCGGCCGAGGAAAACATCATTGGAACAAGAATATTTTTTGATTTTTTTATTCAAAATATTCTCCTCCAGTTTCAATACACTTGTTACAGCGATTCAACAGTAATTCAAATGCGTGTTCTAGCTCATTTCGTGGAACTGCCTCTAGCGCTCGCGTTGAAGCTGTTTCGATAGTCGAAATGTCATTAAAAACACATCCTTTCAACTTCAATTTCAATTTTGGGAATAGGGAGAAGTCACACGAGATCAAATCAGGCGAATACGGTGGATGATTCAACACACAAACTTGATTTCGAGTAAAAGTTTTACGAACAATGTGTGACGTGTGACTCGGTGCATTATCGTGCAACAGACTTCAGGTCTCTGGATCACGATATTCGAGTCGAATACGACGGACTCTGGTCATCGAATGCTTCAAAACTTCGAGATAATATGTTCCAGTAATTGTTTGGCCAGTTGAAACGAATTCCCTGCGAATAATTCCTTTGCTATCGAAGAATGCGATAAGCATTGTCTTGATTTTCTATGGAACTTCCGTGCTTTTTGGCTTGCGGTGAATCATTCGACTTCCATTCCGCACTTTGACGCTTGGTTTCTGGATCGTACCGAAAGCACCATGTTTCGTCACCCGTAATAATTGATTTCAAGAAGTTTGGAACATTTCCGGCGACTGCAACGACTTCTTTGGAATGATCGACACACAACGATTTTTGGTCATATTTCAATGTCGACAAGAAAGTTGCTTAGGGAGAACTGTTATAACTTTGCTATTTATCAACCGATTGAACCAAAACTTATACTACCGGAAAGAGGAATGTCACAGCTTCCAAACGCCGGTCTAAAAACATAGATGGCATTATTAGTTACTGAGATATGGCTCGAGTCTCGAAACTTATTTGTCGCACTGTGTAAAATCGGATGTATCTTTACATTAGAAAATATGTTGAAAAGTTTGCTGTACAGAATTATAGATGGTAATTTATATTTTTCTCAAAAAGTTCCGCTGTTCGAAGATTGAGTGGTGGTGAATTGCGAATTTCGCTGTCTTTAATTGTTTGTAACTCTTATCAACGTCCACCGATTTCGATGAAATTTTTTGCAATTTTCGTTAGAGGCCCGGATAAGAATGTTGAAAGGACATTTTATAATTTAATTTTATCGTCGATTGAAGTTCAATTTCAACAAATTGTTGATGTTGCCGATGTGTCCGTCAAACAGTTAACGTGTCATTCATTTATTTATCCAGTCAGAAACAAAAATTTATTTATTCAGTGCTTCAACACTGACCACTTTTAGTTTGGTCCAGTACTCAAGCAACATAGTCAAAGCCGAGGCGTACCTCAGAGTGGGGGTAGTAGTGGGGAAAGCATCCATGACCAGCATTCACAGGAAAAGTCTCTATCTGCTCATAGTTCAAAATTATAACGTCCAATGCATTGGGGCAAATTAATCCTCGCACTTTAAAATAAAGAGTTGAAGCTGAATTTTAATGTTCATCCGCTAGACGCGACACGTCGCTATACGCCGCGCACGCGTCACCAGGCAGGAAAAGTGGCTACGCAAGGAGTGGGGGCTGACGACGCATGCGCGGAAGTCCCGCAAAGCAGCGTGGAGCATCTGCAGGGCGAACACTACAATTCTGAACTACGATCGGACGCTACGTAGAGCCTCCGTTTGATTGTAGTTCAGAATTGTATTGAAGTCGTCACCCCACTCCTTGTCGTAGCTCATTTTCCTGTGAACTCCGTCTCATGACTCATGCTACACGATTCGAACAGTACATGTCACGTTGTCGCGTCAGATGGCGTTGACCGTCGTGTACCATGTATAACAAGGACTTTTATGCCAGTGTTCACTACCACCCCCACCCCGAGCTCCCAGCGCCAGTATCCGCCGCAATCTGGTCACACTGGGCCAAGGTTACCAACGTAGCATCCCCATAATTACCTCGTTCTCCGCCTGGCCCTCCTCGTTGCTCGCTTCCAGCCTCCTGGACCTGAAGCTGGAGCTGAGAGGACCCCTCTGAGGTATCCTGGACGCTGTCGAAGGACTACAGTCTCTGGTCCTGCCGATCAGGTTGCTGGAAGCGCTGAAACCATAGTCCTGCTGCTTGCTCCTGCTCTTCAAAGCCAGATACTCCTTGTACGTCCCTCGACTGGTGTTCACGCCGACGTTCACCTTGTCCACCTTGCGGTCGACCTTCTTCTCCGCTCGGCTGAGGTCGTCGTAGCTCGAGGAAGTCCCGTTCAGCTTATCCCTGCCTTCGTCGATCGATCTAGACCTCGAATCTTGGCGGTAACGTCTCTGCGTTTTCTGGTCGGCGCTACTGTTCGACCTCGTCAGAGGCTTCTCGCGGGTCACGGGGTAGTTCTGGCTCTGAGCCTGGCTCAGCCACTCGTCCACCCTCTTCTGAACCTCCCCCTTGCGCAGCAACACCTCGGGGACCTTGCTTCTGCTGGCTTCGACGGTTACCGAAGGAGGGTGGTTGTCCTCCGCGAGGTGTTTCGGGCAGTCTTTCTGCCTCTCGCGCGAACGCTGTCGCACCTGCGTCTGCTGGTTCACCTTCAGCACCGGCTGAGGATTCTCCCGAGCCGGGGAGCACTTCGGCTGGGCCCTGGCAGCCAGGCCCTTCGGCTTGTCCTGCTGCTGCTTCTTCTGCTGGTCCATCATGACCGCCTCGAAGTTGGAGACGCTGATGCTGCCAACGTCGCTGAGATCGGACGACCTCCTGCAGTCCAGATCCTCGTACTCGTCCAGAATGTTGTTCACCGACTGCGTGTCTATCGAGCTGATGCTCTTCGACTTGTTCCTGACGACGCTCTCGTCGCTGGACGAGTAGCCGTGGTTCTGTTGCTGGGACTGCTGGCGATCTCTGCTCGCTTGCCTCTTCGGTCTGGACTTCGGCTTCTGGTACCTCAGCACAGCGTTCTCGTAGCGGTGAAGGGGATTCTCCGGGCCGGGTTCGGCGGCCTCCGGTTTGTTTCTCTTGGCACCTGGCGACTGCTTGATGTATCTGTGCTGGCCGGCATCCTTTTGGCTGCTCGGGGCGTACGTTGTCTTCTGCATGATCGAGACTCCGCCTCGATTAGAGGGGTCCGCGTCCTGGCCGGCTCTCTGCTGCGTTATCGAACGAAAGGTCGTGAAACTCTGACCGTATCTCGAGCTTAGGCTAGCAGAGGCCGTCTCTCTCGCGAACTCTCGCCGCGTGACGTTCGATCGAGCACGCTGGTGGTCAACGGCCGGTAGCAGACCATCCTCGTCGACGAATGGAATGTTGCTGCCGGCGGTCAGGCTCTTCATGATCATTTCATTGCTCATTTTCACCGAGCTCACATTTTCGGGGCGACTCGGCAAGTGAATCGGCTACTCCGGCGGTTCCTGCAACACACGTGGCCCCGCGGTCTTTAGATTGCTGGGATTCGTGGCAGTTCTGCAATTATAATAGAGTGGGATCCATTATACATATAGCGAGGTGTACATTGCCGTCGGTAGAAGAGTAAGTGGTCGCTTCGTTAATTGATTTAATTTCATTCATTTGTTGTGCGGGCAGGGTTGCCCCTTAATTAGAGAAAGTGCAATAACAGCGAGTAACACGAGCACGAGTGGGTAATAACTGGACTGCAGATTTTATGCATTTATTGAACAGATATACGTGTAGATCGAATGAAAAATAGCGGAAACATTTTAACGATTTTAAAACGTTGTTATATTAATGTGAGATTATAAAAATCACCAAAGGAGGATATAAATGCCTATGGGGTCCCTTCATCTTGCAATTAATGAGAATAATTTTTATTTTGCATAAAAATCCGCAGTCTAGTAATTTATATTGTATGTTATATTAATGTGAAATTATAAAAATTACCGAAGGAGGATATAAATGTCTATGGGGTCCCTTGATTTTGCAATTAATGAGAACAATTTTTATTTTGCATAAAAGTCCGCAGTCTAGTAATTTATATTGTATGTCACTTGTTGTATGTATGCCATATTTTAGTATGTTTATATATATTGCGTGCGACTTATTCATTACTATATCTCATATTCATATTGTACGTATATCACTGATTTTATACTATATTTTTTTATGTTCATATTGTATATCTCATTTATTCTATACTGAATTCTAGTATATTCATAATGTATGTCGCTTACTCTACACTATACTCTAGTATACTCATATTGTGTGTCACTTATCCTATACCACACAGGGTGTCCCAAAAATGTCTCGCAATCCGGAAATGGGAGGTTTCTGAGGTCATTTGAAGCAACTTTTCCCTTTGCGAAAATTTTCTCCGAGGCTTCGTTTACGAGTTATTAACGAGAAACACTGACCAATAAGAGGCGAGCTCGGGTGGCGTGCGGCGGCCCAGCCAACCAGTGCGCGGAGCCCAGTTCCGCTCATTGGCTCGGCCGTCTCGCGCCAAATGATCTCGCCTCTGAGTGGTCACTGTTTTTCGTTAATAACTCGTCAACGAAGCCGCGGATTGCATTTTCGCTAAGGAAAAAGTTGCTTCAAATGACCTCAGGAATCCCCTACGTTCGGATTGCGAGACATTTTTGGGACACCCTGTATATTCTATTATATTCGTATAATATTCTGTATCACTTATATTACTGAAATTTTAAATAAAATTATGTGCAATAGATAAAAGAATATCATCCAGTAAACTGTTTAATAGACACGTTCATTACTGTAAATAGAACAAATAAATAGATTTTACGGCGATATTGGCAATAATCAGAAAATAAATAAATCGATGGTTATAATATGCTATAAAAATGCTAGTATAGGCCATGTTTGACCCGGCCACCGGCCACCAAGGTCCGTTATGCGAGAATCAATCCAACGACTAAATTCTCGATTTCACTTAAAACCGCACGAACGTCCGAACTATTTCCTTCAAATTTCCCGCGATGCATTTCAACCCGACCTCGTCTATTTTCCGATCGTCCCTTAATGAAGTCTATTCCAGCATCGGAATGTAAAAATTTCACTATCCGATACCGCACGATCTCGTGGAATCGATTATTAGCCGGGACGACGTTCGACTGCGCTAGGATGCAGTTGAAACTTGCATAGGACGGCCGGGCCGGCGATGGGGTGGGGGAGTGAGGTGGGTGGGTCCTCTTTGAAATTCCGTGCCGAAATTCGTAATTGGAAAGGGAAGCTCGTTGCGAAAGGCGCCGCGTTAGAGACACGTCTTCCGTGAAACGGTTCTCTCTCCGCGATCGGCTTCCGGTAAACCGGCGCCGGGCACGTTTTACCGGCGCGCAGGAATATCCGGTAAGCCGGCCGATATCCGGCTGGAATTAATTCGGTTTTCGGGCCTCGGCCGCATTAGATATTGTAATGGTTGGCCATGCGCCCGTGCGTCGCATCGTTAAAGACCATAACGGCCGTTTCGAATTCAATATGCCTGTTCGATCGGCGCCCGGTTGAATATTGACTATCCNAAAATCCGCAGTCTAGTAATTTATATTGTATGTTATATTAATGTGAAATTATAAAAATTACCGAAGGAGGATATAAATGTCTATGGGGTCCCTTGATTTTGCAATTAATGAGAACAATTTTTATTTTGCATAAAAGTCCGCAGTCTAGTAATTTATATTGTATGTCACTTGTTGTATGTATGCCATATTTTAGTATGTTTATATATATTGCGTGCGACTTATTCATTACTATATCTCATATTCATATTGTACGTATATCACTGATTTTATACTATATTTTTTTATGTTCATATTGTATATCTCATTTATTCTATACTGAATTCTAGTATATTCATAATGTATGTCGCTTACTCTACACTATACTCTAGTATACTCATATTGTGTGTCACTTATCCTATACCACACAGGGTGTCCCAAAAATGTCTCGCAATCCGGAAATGGGAGGTTTCTGAGGTCATTTGAAGCAACTTTTCCCTTTGCGAAAATTTTCTCCGAGGCTTCGTTTACGAGTTATTAACGAGAAACACTGACCAATAAGAGGCGAGCTCGGGTGGCGTGCGGCGGCCCAGCCAACCAGTGCGCGGAGCCCAGTTCCGCTCATTGGCTCGGCCGTCTCGCGCCAAATGATCTCGCCTCTGAGTGGTCACTGTTTTTCGTTAATAACTCGTCAACGAAGCCGCGGATTGCATTTTCGCTAAGGAAAAAGTTGCTTCAAATGACCTCAGGAATCCCCTACGTTCGGATTGCGAGACATTTTTGGGACACCCTGTATATTCTATTATATTCGTATAATATTCTGTATCACTTATATTACTGAAATTTTAAATAAAATTATGTGCAATAGATAAAAGAATATCATCCAGTAAACTGTTTAATAGACACGTTCATTACTGTAAATAGAACAAATAAATAGATTTTACGGCGATATTGGCAATAATCAGAAAATAAATAAATCGATGGTTATAATATGCTATAAAAATGCTAGTATAGGCCATGTTTGACCCGGCCACCGGCCACCAAGGTCCGTTATGCGAGAATCAATCCAACGACTAAATTCTCGATTTCACTTAAAACCGCACGAACGTCCGAACTATTTCCTTCAAATTTCCCGCGATGCATTTCAACCCGACCTCGTCTATTTTCCGATCGTCCCTTAATGAAGTCTATTCCAGCATCGGAATGTAAAAATTTCACTATCCGATACCGCACGATCTCGTGGAATCGATTATTAGCCGGGACGACGTTCGACTGCGCTAGGATGCAGTTGAAACTTGCATAGGACGGCCGGGCCGGCGATGGGGTGGGGGAGTGAGGTGGGTGGGTCCTCTTTGAAATTCCGTGCCGAAATTCGTAATTGGAAAGGGAAGCTCGTTGCGAAAGGCGCCGCGTTAGAGACACGTCTTCCGTGAAACGGTTCTCTCTCCGCGATCGGCTTCCGGTAAACCGGCGCCGGGCACGTTTTACCGGCGCGCAGGAATATCCGGTAAGCCGGCCGATATCCGGCTGGAATTAATTCGGTTTTCGGGCCTCGGCCGCATTAGATATTGTAATGGTTGGCCATGCGCCCGTGCGTCGCATCGTTAAAGACCATAACGGCCGTTTCGAATTCAATATGCCTGTTCGATCGGCGCCCGGTTGAATATTGACTATCCAGAAGTATGTTCGACTTCCTCGCGCATATTTATTTCCCCGTACGTCCCGCCCATGTCCTTCCCTAAAACAGTCACCGTCTAATCGTGCCTGTCGCTTCCTAATTACGCCGTCGGGAAATTATTTGCATGCTTCTGGGACGATTATGTCATTCGCACCTCCGTTACGTGGTTAGCATAGTACAGTCGGAGACAAATATGTTTATGTGCCCTTTACAGCTTCTCCCCGCCCCTTACCAAATAATATATGCACCCTTTAACACTAGACTTGCCAAGCGTAAGTAGTAACCGGAACGATTTTCCTTGCGAAAAAGACACGATTGAATTTATTTAGATTTCGTGCGAACTTTATTAGAAAATCTGCCCGGATTAATGTGTCAGAGGAATTGATTACGTCAACTCCCATAGAAACAGCCTTGTAATTTTAATAATCGTTGAATAAAACTTATGCAACAGGTCATTCGACCGGCTCCTGTTGGTTTAGTGTTGAAACGATATAACCCCTTTAAGACTGGACTAAATGACTTGAATTTTCATTAGATGACAGAAAGACTAGTCTGTTATGTAGTAACTATAATATTTTTTTTAAATTTTGCTTCTACTTGGAGTGACAAGACAAAATTAAAAAGCATCGTTTTTCTCATTTTTTATCTAGAGCCTGTAAGGACAATTTTAAAAATACGTTTTGTAGATCTTGGTGATTTATGTGCACGCTGAAAGTTTCAGCTGAAACGAAATTCAAGTCGTTTAATCCAGTTTCAAAAATCTTACACCGTTTTGAAGGGTTCGAACAGACTTAACGAAACGTGAACATTTGAAATTAAGCTGAAATCAAGATAAAATTCTACACTTTTATCGCCAATATTTGATCATTAAATTAAACGTCGGCATACAAAAAATATAAATCGTCTCCTTCTCGCAGGAAATTTTTACCAATGAAACAGTTCAAACCAACACAGCTTTCGACGAATTCATAGGGCAAAGGGTTAATATTGTCATCCTTATATTCTATTTTTATCACTGTCTCTCATTAATATTACATTGCATCTTCGCGTATTTTACATTATTCTAAAAATTACTTCCAAAGCTCGGCATTGATCCTAAAAATCTTAGCAATTTATTTATTCCTTCCGTTCCATCCCCGCTGAAACGTTTCTCGAACTACTCTCCCGAATGCTCCCTATTTCGGCGGCGTCGATGTCGCGGTAAACATTCTTATTTGCTGTGCCGGTATATGTATGTATATTTGCCTAAATATCAATGCGTCAAGGGGTGCGCCATGGCCTCGAACGTTTCGGCGATAAGCATTGGAGGCAGCCGTACA